TCTTTAATTTTCTCAATGTTGTTTTCCCAATATCATCTCTTTAAATTATATACCACTGCAAGCTTGCCGCCAAATTGAAATATCTAATCTTTACAAATTTAAGTCACACCGACCAGGCATATTCTTAACTTCTGCATAAGCTCTTTTTTAATTTCTGTAATTGATTACCCAAATAACTATATATATAACTTGAGGTTAATTAAAATCCTGGAATACGTTTGTAAGTTTTATAGCAATCCGATTTCCATCTTCCTAAGGATTGGATAACTTGAGATGAACTTGAGATAAAACCCCAAATTCCGTACTTGCCCCAATACGAAAGAAGTGGGATTTGTAGTCCCAAGACTCGAGGATGAAGACCTGAAAGGAGCTACGGAAATAATGACAAATTAATTGAACCCCTGGGTAGTGGGTAGGTCTAATTTCTAAAACCTTTGAAGATTAGCGCAGGGCAAGTTAAAATTTCTGTATTGGCAACAACTTTATCTGAGGATTTGTACGATAAAGTTATAATATACAATAGAAAATGCAGCTGAAAGCAATTAATGATGCCTCATATGAATTTGTACATATGCAGGGTAGAATTTTAAGAATCTGCTTTAATATGGATCTTTTAATGGGCAACCTACTGTCAAAGCTGTGAGCTGTGCTTTTTAACCCCTGTAACAACTTTTAACCATGAACTCTTCTGTTAGGTCTCTATGACCTTGAAGTTTGCAATTATAAGAAACGGAAGCTAAGTTAGGACGAACTGTCGAAAACCCCAGGCTTTTGATTAACCAGTGTGTAACAAATCTAATAATCAAATAACAAGGGGGGTAAATAATATTTAATCCTTGTTACAAGCAGCAGCTCTTACGCCTAATTAATAAGCCTTGCTGTTTTCAGTAAATGCTGCCCTTAACAACTTGTTTAATTTATGCTAGATATAAGGTTCTGCAATTCGATTAGTACAGTACTGGTTGTGGTGATGTATGTGGTGCAGCCTGCAAGAAACGGTGCCACAGCTGCTGAGGAGAAATTGAATCGGCAACAATGTTATTAATTAGTACGCACGTGAATTGCACGAAAAAATATATAGTTTGAAATGCAGTTTAACACAGATGAACGAATTAATTTCATAACTCTATTAGATTTTGAGGACTGTTTATTCAAAACCGTAACCATTGCCCCATTATCGATACAAAACTGTATTTTCCTATTTGCAAGCTGACTACCACTTAAACCGACAGCCAAAACTACTGGGATAAGGTTTAATATTGTCATGTCATGCAATATATCTGAATTACTGTAGTCACCCATTCACGTGGCTAAGGGAAATAGCACCACTGCCCTCAAAAGTATGCTCCACAACCCAGATGTGCAAAAAACGGCACTATCTGTATACAGATCTAAAATAATTAAATTCAATTGACGACCAATCACTTTCTTGGAAATAAACTTGACCATTAAATTGTGCTAGGAAACTTACGCATATATCTTAAATTGCTTCGTTTCATTGTTTTACATAATATGATGGTGAGGCTTAGACACCCCCGGGTTGAATCATACAAGCTCCTAACAAATTTGTAAGAAAAATTGAGCTTCCGTAACAATGGCTATAACTGCCGTAGAACTAATAATTAATGTTCCTACGGAATGGACGTCCATTTGATACATTTTCCAAGAGGTATTCTAATCAGCATTTGTATTGTGTCATTTTCTCAGCCTACAAGACAGCGAGTGGGATAAACCGTTTTGTCATCAGTTAAGGGGAACCCCCAGTTGAATACAAACCCCTTGTAACGTTTGCATTAATTTAAAAATGACTCCCTTTCCTCCCCTGCAAGTATGAAATCATCTAAGTAATATATATATATATATATATATATATATATATATATATATATATATATATATATATATATATATATATATATATACCCTCAACTTTGAATCCTAAAAGGTCAAAATCCCCAGGGAACGTATGTAGAAGCCTAAATGCTGATTCAATATCCACTTTTACAAAAATATGCACCTTCACCAACCTTTTTATGACTAACAAAGGATGTATAATGACTGTGGACTTACTATGGTTTATACAGTGATTTTCACTGCTGTCTGCAGGATATGAAAGGTGCGTTATCAATCGCCATCCAGAGCTATCTTTCTTTGGTACCACTTCCACTGGAGATACTCTGAGGTAACATTTGAGAAACACCCCCCCCCTCTTAATTCAACTTCTTTGTTATTATTATTTCATTATTATTATTATCCCTGTATTGATAAGCTGAAATTAAATGGTTATTTATTTATTTATTTTTTATTTCTTATATGTAACATTGGACTTGAGTTATAAAGTCTGAACCCCTGAGCAAAACCATGCACTCAACAATTTGTTGCTACAGGTTTGTTTAGATAACGATCAGCTTCGGATCAAGGTCACTCTTTATAGAGGAATTCTAATTGGTATGTTTCCTACAGCCAAAATATTTTTAGCCATTCTCCTTGTATTTTTGGGTGTGGGACTGAAGTTTTTTGGTAGTAGTTTGGTGGAGCTTGATGTCTTGTATATGGATTTCTACATAGTAAACTTAAATTATTGTGGTTGCATGGGCTGGGTTCGAAAGGAGTATAGCTGCGTTCGAATGAGCTACTCACTGGTATGTTATTTAGCTGGGCTCTTAATTTGACAATTGCATTGTATGACTGGGTGCATAGTGCGCATGTACTAACACAGATTTGACTGCAGAACCCCTTAAAATTGAAATCAATGCACCTTTTTGTTTGAGAGCGCGCGTTAAGTCTTGAGAAATTCCAGCCGATAACTAGGATTCATGTATAACAACCACAGTTCTAAATCAACTAAGGCCCAAGAACTATAGGGGGATCTATAGATTTCCGAAGATGATAATGCGTGACATATTCAAACCCCAAGCGGACTGTGTGGACAAACATAGGATATCTATTACTTTATATGGATGGGCAGATATGTAAATAGATGCAAACATGAGCATGATATCCGTCCATTTTTCAATTGGAAATATTTTTTGAGACATTTTCCTTTGTTGCAATTTCTCCTGTGCACTTAGGGTTAGTTTTTTAATCACCCCCCCCCTCCCCCCTGTTTGAGTGGAAGCAGAGACTGTAATTCTACAAGCTGGAAACCTGTAGACACCAGTTTGAAAGTTGGTGTTATCATAAGTGATATAAAGTAACAGTTTACTTTTTGTAAGAAATAGTAATATGCTTACCTGTATTGTTCTTATTAATTTTTATTTAAGTTAAATAAATAGTCATCAGTTACAAAGAAATGAAGCTGAGCAGAGTCAAATAATCATAGATTCGCATGAAATAGAGTTATCAAATTATTATCAATTAGGCCTACATGATATAATTCGATTACTAAAATACTTTAAATTTTTTACACTTAGGACAAAGATGGCGGCTAGCACATGGTGATGCAAATAGCCAAATTGAAATGCATCTGACCTGATCTAAAACCTTTGTTATCGAATCGATACGTAAACAATACGAATTCATAAAAATAGTAATAGCAATTAAACTTTTAAGGCAAGAATTTATTTCTAAAATCTACATTTAGCCATTGTTTTCTCAAATTTGATTAACACCAACCTTGCAACTAGCGTGTAACCGGCAAAGAGAGAGTTTGCAGCACGAGCGCCTTTCTTTATATAATTGAAAGTTAGATAACTCGTGCCGAAACAAGGAGAGATAACTGCGCCAAAAAATATTGCGCTGCCAAGATAAAAGCATCTTATTCGCATATGGGCGAGATAGATGCAATATTAATTCAAATTAATTTATACTTGGTAAAACGATTATATTTATACATATATACATAAATTTGTTTATCAACCTGTCATTTCTGTACATGTATTTACTTAAAATGAAATGTGTGTGGTCCAGAGAATGTAAGTAACGTTGGGACCCCTCTCTCGAGATTCATTCGTTATGATGGTTACCCTTAACGAAATATTTCAAAGTAATGTTATTAAACAGGGAATTTAATGCACTCATTTGACCACACCCACTCCAACATATTTATAACAAAGTAATACTATTTATACTTGTTGGTCTAATTTTCTCCTCTCTGAAGTATGTAAAATCTTTTCTCTTCTTTTACACCTTTCAATATATGTTTTACCTGTAAATAATGATAATGTATATACTTTTAATTAATAAAATATATTGTTGTTGAAATACTTATTTGAAAAAGGTTATGTTTTGCTTGATACTTCAATTTTTTACAACAAAGAGCTTATCTCTCAAGAAATTTAAAGATAAAGCTGATCTACTTTCTTTTCAGTTGCCATGTACCTGTGTTAATACATGCAATACGGGAGATAATCGACGCTGTAAACTTGTAGTGGATAAAAAAAATCTTTAAGTGTCAGTAAGAATTTCCGGCGTTTTATTCCAAGATTAATCCCATGAAAATCTATTGTTACTTATATTTTTTGGAAACAAATCCACAGAGGAATTGATGTTATTTTAATTCCCATTTGAGATTATTTCATTCATACATGGAGACGTCGCCATGTATATTAAAAATAAATCGACAAAAAACCCGTTTCGCATATATATACTTATTAACATCTAGTGATATTTATTTATATTCTTTCTTCGATTTTATGGGTATTATAGCTATACATCTAAACCAAACTGAACTGCTCCCCGGTGCGCCGTAACGTCATTAAATGTCGCCTTTTATCGTGTATTGTATTTACCTCTTTCCCATTTCGAATATTCGGGAAACTATGAAAAATTAAGCAAATGCCTTGAAATTTTCTAAAAGAGGACTCAATATCTCCAAAAAACATCTCATCTATTTGATACTTTAATTTCGAAATAATACATGTATTTTCCCTATAAAAGCCATGATTATAAAATCATTTGCTATGACCAGGAAAAACTTAATATGTTAAGAGTCACGAAGTAAGGCATTGTTCCTAACTTCGTGGGTTCGAATCCCATTGTGTCGAGTATAGGACAATATTCTAAGTTAAGTCTCGCGAGATGTGACTATATTTAAATCACTCGAGTGGCGGCTGTCGGTCCGTGCAGTCGTAGTTTTCTGCCTCGCTGCCCAACAGTTTTTGTTAGCTGTAGCGTCGTCATATGTAAGTATATTTACTTTATTTGTAATACTAGCTTGGTGCTAGTATATATTTTGGTGAAACAGTTGGTAGGTTCGGCCGAGAACTGTTGTTTTTAGTGGACCGGGGGTCCATTTTATAATGTGAATTTAAATTGATAATTTGCTTTCGGGAACCTTGGAGGTTCATACAGTTTTAGGAGTAAGATTCGATGGACCGGGGGTCCGTTATTTTATGTAGAGATAATGGAATTTTCTTTATAATTGATTTGCATGGTTTTAATCTGGATATGTGTGAGCTGTTGTTATATGAATGTAATTCAAACAGCTGTAGAATGCGAGGAGCATTTTATTATGTGGGATTTTGTTGGACATTTTCCATCGGACTCAATTATTAGTGATTTTGATAGTAAAATTTGTGAATACATGTTTGCTATTCTTGAAATTTTGTTTTGGACTGTGTTATTTATACCTGTCGGTAAACTAATTTTGTCCGGCGAGTGGTGTTCACCGGCGTGTGACGAGGTATTACAAGGTGTAAAATCTCGTGCGTGTTTGGTTTAAGTGTACAGTGAGTCTATGTATATTGAGAATTCGTGATATTTACTAGTGTAAGGAAAATAAAATCTTTTTAAGTATTGGGAATGTTTAAATATTATATTTTTGACGTTTTTAGAGCGAAGTAAGAATGGCTGTGGTGCTAAAACCCAGGACCAGTTTAATTGGAAAAAGTTTGGTGCCAGTAGTTTTGAAGTTGAAAGCTTCAGATGGTAATTCGGAGGATTTGACGTTGGCCAGGTGAGCAATATATTATAATGCATGCCTTCATGATATAAATTAAAAAAAAAAAAAAAAATAGGAATTTTTATGTGTTTACAGGTTGAAAAGAGGATATCCTTTAGAGGATTACTCATTGGCTGACCTCAGAACAGAGTTTGAAAAATTGACAGGAGAGTCAGTCAAGGATATTCTGATGTTGGCAGGAAAGGAGGATAATATTGAGACTGTAAGAATCCTCATGAGTTACACTATTGAACATGCCAATACGGTAGGGGCTCCTAGGGGCCAGGTACTAGAGGCAACTGCTACTGCTTCTCCCTCACGTGACAATGCTTCTGGCTCTTCAAGTAGTACGGTAACTGCCCAAAGGGATCAACCCTCGGGATCTTCGAGTGGTAACTCTCAAGGTATATCTTTATCTATCTGGTTTTGTCGTGTTTATGTAATAAATAGGAATTTAATTTGAGAACTGGTTTTATATTAAGTCAACAGGTTTTCTTATACAATATACATGTTTGAATGTATATATGACTTTTGTGTAGATATGGCTGGCAAGAAAGATGGAGAAGGACTGGAGGATCAACTTAATAGTATGAAAGAGAATCTTAAAGCGTTGAAGAGTAGACGAGATGACTTACAGGTAGATGATGCTCTGTCAAGTGTGAGAAGTCTAGCAAGTCGTCCCAATTTGACATCACATAATGTTTTGATGGCAGCGATTGAAACATTGATTGAAGTAGCTAATAAGGCAAATCACAAAGATGCTTCACTCTTTAGCAAATCGTATGCAAATTGTAAAAGGTATGAGGATAACGAAGATTTTTGTGGGTTGGTTTTAAAATTGTTTGGGACACAGGAGGATAAAAAGATAGCAGTAGTTGTAGCTGACTGGGCAAAATGTAAAAAGTACGAAGAATCTGAAAAAAGTAGGTTGAAGCAAAAAGAGAACGTAGCCTCATCGGGTAGTCCCTACCAATCACTTTCTTGGAAATAAACTTGACCATTAAATTGTGCTAGGAAACTTACGCATATATCTTAAATTGCTTCGTTTCATTGTTTTACATAATATGATGGTGAGGCTTAGACACCCCCGGGTTGAATCATACAAGCTCCTAACAAATTTGTAAGAAAAATTGAGCTTCCGTAACAATGGCTATAACTGCCGTAGAACTAATAATTAATGTTCCTACGGAATGGACGTCCATTTGATACATTTTCCAAGAGGTATTCTAATCAGCATTTGTATTGTGTCAATTTCTCAGCCTACAAGACAGCGAGTGGGATAAACCGTTTTGTCATCAGTTAAGGGGAACCCCCAGTTGAATACAAACCCCTTGTAACGTTTGCATTAATTTAAAAATGACTCCCTTTCCTCCCCTGCAAGTATGAAATCATCTAAGTAATATATATATATATATATATATATATATATATATATATATATATATATATATATATATATATATATACCCTCAACTTTGAATCCTAAAAGGTCAAAATCCCCAGGGAACGTATGTAGAAGCCTAAATGCTGATTCAATATCCACTTTTACAAAAATATGCACCTTCACCAACCTTTTTATGACTAACAAAGGATGTATAATGACTGTGGACTTACTATGGTTTATACAGTGATTTTCACTGCTGTCTGCAGGATATGAAAGGTGCGTTATCAATCGCCATCCAGAGCTATCTTTCTTTCGTACCACTTCCACTGGAGATACTCTGAGGTAACATTTGAGAAACATCCCCCCCCCTCTTAATTCAACTTCTTTGTTATTATTATTTCATGATTATTTTTATCCCTGTATTGATAAGCTGAAATTAAATGGTTATTTATTTATTTATTTATTTTTTATTTTTTATATGTAACATTGGACTTGAGTTATAAAGTCTGAACCCCTGATCAAAACCATGCACTCAACAATTTGTTGCTACAGGTTTGTTTAGATAACGATCAGCTTCGGATCAAGGTCACTCTTTATAGAGGAATTCTAATTGGTATGTTTCCTACAGCCAAAATATTTTTAGCCATTCTCCTTGTATTTTTGGGTGTGGGACTGAAGTTTTTTTGTTAGTAGTTTGGTGGAGCTTGATGTCTTGTATATGGATTTCTACATAGTAAACTTAAATTATTGTGGTTGCATGGGCTGGGTTCGAAAGGAGTATAGCTGCGTTCGAATGAGCTACTCACTAGTTGTTATTTAGCTGGGCTCTTAATTTGACAATTGCATTGTATGACTGGGTGCATAGTGCGCATGTACTAACACAGATTTGACTGCAGAACCCCTTAAAATTGAAATCAATGCACCTTTTTGTTTGAGAGCGCGCGTTAAGTCTTGAGAAATTCCAGCCGATAACTAGGATTCATGTATAACAACCACAGTTCTAAATCAACTAAGGCCCAAGAACTATAGGGGGATCTATAGATTTCCGAAGATGATAATGCGTGACATATTCAAACCCCAAGCGAACTGTGTGGACAAACATAGGATATCTATTACTTTATGTGGATGGGCAGATATGTAAATAGATGCAAACATGAGCATGATATCCGTCCATTTTTCAATTGGAAATATTTTTTGAGACATTTTCCTTTGTTGCAATTTCTCCTGTGCACTTAGGGTTAGTTTTTTAATCACCCCCCCCCTCCCCCTGTTTGAGTGGAAGCAGAGACTGTAATTCTACAAGCTGGAAACCTGTAGACACCAGTTTGAAAGTTGGTGTTATCATAAGTGATATAAAGTAACAGTTTACTGTTTGTAAGAAATAGTAATATGCTTACCTGTATTGTTCTTATTAATTTTTATTTAAGTTAAATAAATAGTCATCAGTTACAAAGAAATGAAGTTGAGCAGAGTCAAATAATCATAGATTCGCATGAAATAGAGTTATCAAATTATTATCAATTAGGCCTACATGATATAATTCGATTACTAAAATACTTTAAATTTTTTACACTTAGGACAAAGATGGCGGCTAGCACATGGTGATGCAAATAGCCAAATTGAAATGCATCTGACCTGATCTAAAACCTTTGTTATCGAATCGATACGTAAACAATACGAATTCATAAAAATAGTAATAGCAATTAAACTTTTAAGGCAAGAATTTATTTCTAAAATCTACATTTAGCCATTGTTTTCTCAAATTTGATTAACACCAACCTTGCAACTAGCGTGTAACCGGCAAAGAGAGAGTTTGCAGCACGAGCATCCTTCTTTATATAATTGAAAGTTAGATAACTCGTGCCGAAACAAGGAGAGATAACTGCGCCAAAAAATATTGCGCTGCCAAGATAAAAGCATCTTATTCGCATATGGGCGAGATAGATGCAATATTAATTCAAATTAATTTATACTTGGTAAAACGATTATATTTATACATATATACATAAATTTGTTTATCAACCTGTCATTTCTGTACATGTATTTACTTAAAATGAAATGTGTGTGGTCCAGAGAATGTAAGTAACGTTGGGACCCCTCTCTCGAGATTCATTCGTTATGATGGTTACCCTTAACGAAATATTTCAAAGTAATGTTATTAAACAGGGAATTTAATGCACTCATTTGACCACACCCACTCCAACATATTTATAACAAAGTAATACTATTTATACTTGTTGGTCTAATTTTCTCCTCTCTGAAGTATGTAAAATCTTTTCTCTTCTTTTACACCTTTCAATATATGTTTTTACCTGTAAATAATGATAATGTATATACTTTTAATTAATAAAATATATTGTTGTTGAAATACTTATTTGAAAAAGGTTATGTTTTGCTTGATACTTCATTTTTTTACAACAAAGAGCTTATCTCTCAAGAAATTTAAAGATAAAGCTGATCTACTTTCTTTTCAGTTGCCATGTACCTGTGTTAATACATGCAATACGGGAGATAATCGACGCTGTAAACTTGTAGTGGATAAAAAAAATCTTTAAGTATCAGTAAGAATTTCCGGCGTTTTATTCCAAGTTTAATCCCATGAAAATCTATTGTTACTTATATTTTTTGGAAACAAATCCACAGAGGAATTGATGTTATTTTAATTCCCATTTGAGATTATTTCATTCATACATGGAGACGTCGCCATGTATATTAAAAATAAATCGACAAAAAACCCGTTTCACATATATATACTTATTAACATCTAGTGATATTTATTTATATTCTTTCTTCGATTTTATGGGTATTATTGCTATACATCTAAACCAAACTGAACTGCTCCCCGGTGCGCCGTAACGTCACTAAATGTCGCCTTTTATCGTGTATTGTATTTACCTCTTTCCCATTTCGAATATTCGGGAAACTATGAAAAATTAAGCAAATGCCTTGAAATTTTCTAAAAGAGGACTCAATATCTCCAAAAAACATCTCATCTATTTGATACTTTAATTTCGAAATAATACATGCATTTTCCCTATAAAAGCCATGATTATAAAATCATTTGCTATGACCAGGAAAAACTTAATATGTTAAGAGTCGCGAAGTAAGGCATTGTTCCTAACTTCGTGGGTTCGAATCCCATTGTGTCGAGTATAGGACAATATTCTAAGTTAAGTCTCGCGAGATGTGACTATATTTAAATCACTCGAGTGGCGGCTGTCGGTCCGTGCAGTCGTAGTTTTCTGCCTCGCTGCCCAACAGTTTTTGTTAGCTGTAGCGTCGTCATATGTAAGTATATTTACTTTATTTGTAATACTAGCTTGGTGCTAGTATATATTTTGGTGAAACAGTTGGTAGGTTCGGCCGAGAACTGTTGTTTTTAGTGGACCGGGGGTCCATTTTATAATGTGAATTTAAAATTGATAATTTGCTTTCGGGAACCTTGGAGGTTCATACAGTTTTAAGAGTAAGATTCAATGGACCGGGGGTCCGTTATTTTATGTAGAGATAATGGAATTTTCTTTATAATTGATTTGCATGGTTTTAATCTGGATATGTGTGAGCTGTTGTTATATGAATGTAATTCAAACAGCTGTAGAATGCGAGGAGCA